GGGAAGCGACAGAATTTCAATTTAAAAAAATTATAATTCACAAAAATTTGTCTGATTGTGGCAAGGTTATTCACTTGTTCCTGTTACAACTTTTTATTGCAGATGACAATAGGCGTTTTATGCATTTTACATTTGTACTCTATAGTCAGTCATTTACACGAATTCATCATACAAGTCATGTATGTATAATAATAAATTAATTACTATATTATATTTCAATGTGTAATATAAGACTTTTTTTAACTTAATATATAATTGTAATCAAAATATAGATTACAATAATATATAATAAAAACGTCAAAAATGTGTTATGTGCATATAATCCATATATACATATATATAGACATATATATACATATTATATTTATATTTATATTTTAACTTATATTTATAAACTACACAAAAATTTTTTTATATTATTTAATTAATTGAATTTTTGGCAGAACATACAGCTGTTTCGAGTATTACCAAATACCTATCATTAATGGTTTTGGAATGTTTTCTTACATTTATTCGAAACTATTTTCTTGAGACTGCAGGTACCAAGGGTTGAACTCGTACCCTGCCACCAAATTAGAAGCTTAGAGTCAACGTTCATTAGCCAACTAACCCAAAGCCGTACTTGACTTTTATGTTCGAACTTGGAGTTTTGTTAATTTGCTGTTAAAGTTCATCAACAAATTCTTTTACTGTGTTATATTATAACGAAATTGAATTGGCTGTATGATCAGTCAAAAAATTCAATTAATTAATTAATATAAATAGTATTTTATGGCTGTAGTTCACAACTTTTCGAAACCTCTCTAACAAAGTACAATTGTTTTTATTAAGTAAAATAATTACTACCGTCATAACTGACGTTAAATTACAATTTATATTTATAAACTAATTTATATTTTTTTAATATATATTACCAGAAATATTAAAAAGAATTATAAAAAAATGAATTTTTTATTAAGTTCAGCATAAAAAATTATCATTAGTTTATATCAAGAAAACTTTTTCACGAAATAATGTTGACTTAAAAAAGTTTGGTGGAGTTTGGTTTATTTAAAATCAAATTACATTATTTAAAACAATATATAATTTTATAAAATTCAAATTTACCAATATCAGTTAGACATAAATGCATTTATTAGACAATAAATATAAGTTAAAATAGTATTGCTTCGTTAAATTTAAAATAGAAGATTATTTCTTTAATTCAATAAATTCTTCGGCTGGCTATGTAACTATTTCGGAGAGCGCCAGATATCCAATAGGTGTTTCCAAAAGACCGCTGAATACTTTGCAGTATCAAAAACCATGAATTTGCTTAATTAAATATTAAAATTTTTTGGATTTGAAAATTTCTTCACTGCTTTCATCCTTTTTAATTTTAAACGCAGTTCTTGTCATAGGACTATAATGATTTTTTATTAAATAAGAACAAATTAAAAGTTTTTTTTTGTATTTTTATAATATGGCTTTTATATAAAGTTAATTTAATTCAATTATCTAAGCAAATCATTTTAGAATTTGCTGTTCGGAGAACTCTGCTTCAAAAAAATTTTGGTCTTTAATTGATACATACAAATTTAACAAGGAGTTACAAAAGAGCTACAATATGTTAAAGTGAATAGTGATGGTCGATTCAATTACATTATGTTACATCTAGTCCATATTTGCAAATGTAGATTAAAATGCGTCGGTAGACACAATTTTACAACGGATTCCTGGTAATTTCGGCATATCAGAAAATGAAGTTGCGAAATAAACAGACGTCTATAATATCCACTGGGCATAATATCCGCTTCCCACCTCTTCCAGACAAAATTTTTGCAAATATTCGGTATGAGTTTCAAAGTACAATGGACACGGTTTGAGAGCTGTGTTTATTTCTACAAAACATTTTCAATAGGTGTATTTAGTGCGTGAAAGTCACACACAAAAAAAATAGTGGTGATCTGTAGTACATGGAACATTAGTTAAAAATCTTTTTTTGAGCTAAATAAGCGAAAATGGAATCCGTAAGTAAGAAGAACTAAAAGCTGTAGTTGATTATAGGGTATGATAGGAATAGTTGGAAATCTCTTGTGATAAGACACTGAGTTCTTGAATTTATATTTTTGAACATGTCAATAATAATAATAATTAATATAATATAATAGATTAGAAGGTATGTTAAAATTTTAATATAAGAATGATACGAAACTATTGGACTCCATCTCTAAGAGGAGAATAAAAGAGAAACACCAGAGTATTCAAATAATTTTCTATTTTAACTCCAGATGAGATCAAAAGCTATTAAAGCTGTAAAAGCTATGGTTGAGGCTATTCAACTTAAAAGTCCACTATCGGCAAGTGAAGAAACTATTAAAAATCCAAAACTTATAAATGCTTTAATAATGAATCATTGAATAGGAAAGGGTTCCTATTTCGGCTGTATTGCCAAATAAGGGTATGAAGTTAAGTATTCAGATATGTTATCAACAATTACAATTAACTACTAACAGTTTTTGAAAGCAAAAAATCGGGAAAACAAATGTTCGAAATATGGAAATATGGAAAGCAAGACCAATCATAGTTAAGGGACTGGAGAGAACTAATGTTTAATAATTTATTAGATTTTTAAGTTAGTAATTATATAAGAACTCTTTTATGTTTAAGATTCAAGACTTTTCTGATTTAAGATTTCTGATTTAATAATATACAGAAAGAATATTAAAAATGTTAAGTGGAAAATATATAGTAATAGTGCTAAAATATTTCATTTATCCATTTCAATGATATTCAACGTAAAAGTTTTTGTTTTAGTACAAATATGTTTTGAGTCTATTGTTATTTGAATTATTTATGAAGTGATAAAGCAATACTAAAAAACATTTTAAATAAAGAATATAGATGAATAAAACTGTAATAAATTTGGTATTACAATCAAATCAATTAATCGAAGAAATAAATAATTAAATTCAAACTTTTTTGCGGCTCATTCACATAAATGATCATTCTAAATGGGACGATAATACTGGTTCAGCAATGATCTTAAGACATACCTATAATTATACTCTATGCATATGCCGAATATGAATATCTCGTAGAAAATAGATTTACCGATTGGCAAATCAGTAGCTTAGTTAATAACTTAGCAATTATATAAAGAGTTTTAAAATTAAGTCCAATAAATTATCATATTAATATATCATATTTATCGCCATCGCCATGTAGATATATGTTGTATCCACAACTATTACAGTTAGTATAAAGAGGCAGAAATAGTTTTTTGCGTTGGTTCCTCTACACTAGAGCGATCTGTACTTAATCTTGCAGTCCTATTTAACGAGTTGCTAAGATCTGGGCTAATTATATGTCCAAGATATGTCCCCTGTAGGTACTAAAGTTTTTGTTTTTATATATATACATACATTTTATAATTTACTAAATTATCTGTTTCATATATATTTAATAAATATATATATATTTAATATGCAATAAATTGCAATATATATATAATAATATGCAATATTATATGTAATATATAACAATTTAATGATCTGATTGTTCTAAGTCAGATGTTCGCTTTTAGTCTCCTCTTACTTGTGTCACCGACTGCATAAATTTGGTTTTTCTATGTGTACTTTACTCGTATATTGCCATAAATGTATCTTGTGCAGTCTTTTACTATGTCAGTTACTATATCTTTCCAGTAGTAACTATGTAGATATGTAGGCGCTACAGCTTTGGTGAGTGCTTACCTTCTTTATAACAAAGTCGTTTCGACACTATTCTTTCTATTGTTGGTCACGATATAGAGACTTTTATGGGTTTATTACTATGTCTCTCTATGTTACTTAGACTATATGAAACATACGTAAGAGATTGAAGATTGAATGCGATAGGATGAAAACAAATTGAGTTTTCAGTTTTTTTATTTTGAGAAATAATTAAAATTAAAATAAGTCTATTTTAAGCTGAGGGATAATGTGTATTAATTGCCATATATTTCTAAAATCTGAAATGTTTAACAAAGTCATCAAATCTGCGAATTTCTAATAAAAATGTTATGTAAATATAAAATATTGAAATAAATAAATTTTAAATTGTTGGAGAAGTGTGTAGTCTTTGCTATAATTTTGAGTTCTGAAAGTTCGCAGTCATCAATTTCAGTTCAATTGTTCTTACATTTAATATTTTTAATAAAATTTTTTATTATTATTTTTTATTATTATTATAATAATAAATATATTCTAATAATATTATATTTTATTTATTTATTTTTTATTTTTTTAAATTTTTAATATAATTTTTATATTAAATCACTAAAAAGTGCTTTAATATCACTAAAAATTGTAGCTAGTCCATAATCATAGATCAAATAACCAGATTTCTAGAGTTTACAATTTGTTACACATTGTCACAAAAAAGAATAATTTGTTGTAAATTAATATTTTTTTTTGAAAATTACATATTGTATTTGTTAATTTATAATTTTGTTAATTTTTAATTAATAAATGAAAATGACGTGCCATAATTGATGGATACGCATAACCGTTAAACTATTTCAATATTAAGTAAAAAAATCGAAACTGAAGGCGAAAATGTATTTTAAAACGATGGTAATGATGGCGATTTTGCTGAAAATGGTGTTAAAGATGAAGTTAAAAAAAAATTAACACACATTTGGCAAATTATAACGAACAAAAAGAAAAAAAAATAAAAATTAAATACCGAGATGCTATTAACTCTGACAGTGTGGCAGATTGGCATCAGGTACTTACTGACGCGCTGAACATTTCATACAAATTTTTTCAATTTTATTTGGATTTGTCTAAGACTTGTAATAATTTGTTTTTTCTACTTTGAATTTGGGTAATAACGACCAGTTTTTAAGATTTTTGGGAAGACGATGCAATCAAATCTTCGCATATAAATGCGAAAGATTTTGCTGAAGATGCATTAAATACATTTTAGACTTTTAAGATAAAGCAACGCTTAGCACAAGATAACAAATTACCAAAAAAATGTTCAAATACGTAAGTTTAACTTAAGGCGCGTACTAAGTGTTAGTTAAATTTAAATTAAAAACAAAAATATTATTAAAGGAAGTTAATTAATAAAATAAAGTGTTTAAAAAAAAATAATTCAACGAATATTTATGATTAATAATATACATTGGCTATAATTTACATATGTTAATTAATTTTGTATCCTTAGATCGTTCTCGCAACTTTATTGTGTGCCTGCGCCGCTGTACCATTGCCTCCATCAGATGATGCTCATGCCGAGATACGCACTTTGAACAGTGATATTAAGCCCGATGGAAGCTATCAGTATCAGTTTGAAACCTCAAATGGCATAGCAGCACAGGAAAGTGGCGTTGGAGCTCAATATGCCAGTGGTTCTTCACAATACTATTCTCCTGAGGGTGAATTGATACAGCTAACTTACACTGCGGACGAAAATGGTTTCCAACCACAAGGTGCACACTTGCCAACACCACCACCAATTCCTGAGGCAATACTGAAAGCTTTGGAATATATACGCACACATCCAAATGAAGAGGAACAACATTTGCAACATCAACATCAACAACACCAACAACAGCAACAAGGAAATCTTTATCTGCAACAAAACTTCCGCAAATTCTAATTTCATTCAATTTTAAAGATTTTTCCATAAATTTTTTTCGTTTTTATTCTATTAATATTTTATTCAATTCCATCGCGAAGCTGTGAATGCGTTAGTATGTTTCATTTTTAAGTGTGAAAATAGTTTTTATGTGAGTTAATAAAGAGCATTTTTTGTTAAACAAAATTTAAAATTTTTTTTTTTTAAATAATTTAAAAGATTTATATTGGATTTGCATACTTTTCGATTGCATTTAAACGGTGGTAGCATAGTTTCAGGCAAAAAACTGAAATAAAAATAATTTTTTTATTTGAGAAAATTAAGATTGCATATTGAAGCTATGTTATATGTTTTTAAATAAAAAACCAAAAATCAGGTATGGCTAGTTTTTGTTTTTAGAAGCATACTTTAAATTTTGAAATTTCCAGGTTTTACAACATTCATATATTGAGTTGAAAATTATTGTATGAAAATATATTGCAAAAGATATTATTTATTGAGCAAATAGATTTATGGTAATAAAAATTGCAATATTTATATTTATTACCTCATTAATATTTACTTTACTACTGCGAAGTAATAAAGTATTGTAATATTTAAATTTAAAATTAATAATTTCCTAAATGATTTTTAAAGCGCTTTTTTTTCAGGCTAATTGGTCAAAGCTTTTTTTTTTGTTTTGTTGTTAAAAATTAAAAATAAAAATTAAGAAAAAGAAATCACAATTTACAATAATTACTATCATTATTAATAATATACAATAATTATTGTAAAATTAATTTGTGATTTCTTTTTAAAAAAAAAATCGCTTTATTAAAATTGTTTGGTCACAAAATAATTAACACATAAATAATTATACTAATTTTCTCATAACATCAAACAAAAATTTTTTTAAATAAATAAATAAATAAGGTATTAAATTATTTAAATTCAAAATTAATAATTTCATAAATGATTATTTTTTTTACACTAATTTTTTTATAATATCAAACAAAACTTTTTTTATTTTATGTATAAAATAATTCAATAAAATAAATAAATATACCAAAAATTTTTATAATATAATTCAACAACCTTTCATCTTTTAATTATTTTTTTAATAAAAAAATTTTTTTTAAAAGGTTAATACAACGGTACTTACAAAATACTTCTCTTTGATTACAAAATGAAAAAAAAAAACCACAAAAAGTAGTTTCTATAGTCGATAATTTTTTAATTATATTATACTTTACCTTAAGACAAATATTCATTAATATACACAATTTATTGCAATTGCCTACAGTTAATCAACTTCTTCGAGAGTGTCAAGCTCTCGAGGCTTTCAAAGAGTCAAAAACTATTTCAACTTCAACTCCAAGTCAAACCAATAATAACTGAAAACATTTTGAAACTATGAATAATTGCCTAATAAATTATTGCAGTCGTAATCATATATGTATATTTAGATACTTAAAAGATTAAGTTTATTAAACATGAGTACATGAGTAGATAGCGGAGGTTTAATAAAGATCGCAATGTGTAGAAATAGCATTTGTAAATAAAAAAATCGTTAAATCTACCGAAAATAGTTTTTATTCATAAATAAAAAAAATTTATACGAAATTATTGCGAAGTGTTGCATTGTGTGCAATAAGTAAATGCAGTATATATTTAAGCAGACATATAAATAATTGCAGGAATTAATAATTTTAAATATTAATAATTAAATAAATAAATAAATAACTAATATTAAAGATTCAGTATCCGCCGAAAAATGCATTTGAAGCGACAGTTAGAAGAAGAATGCATGGAGGTAGACCGTGTCTCTGGTGAAGTGATCAAGTTGCGGGAGCATTAACCGCTATTGATGTACGAGACTGGACCAAATACGTTAGCCAAATAAGTAAGTAAGTAGAATAATAAATATTAAAATCAAAATTTTACATAATAAAGAATTAATAGACACAACAACTAAAAATTAATTATAAAAATAAAAGTTTGGCTTTTTATTTACTATATAATGCAATATTTTTATGTTTTTGTTAGTGATAGCAGTTTTGTTGTCCAGAGCTGGTACGATCAATTTAAAAGTCAGCTTGCTTTTTGATGTTGTATATTATAGAGCTGAGTCTCATAAAACAGCATCAAATTCGGAAAGATATATTGATATATTTTCAAATATATTTTCTCGAAGTTCTCTCAAGTATTTGTAGTTAGTCGATAAAAACAAAAATGATATGTAGTGCAGACAGTAAAAACTTGATTAGACTTAAAGTTGTTGTAAAGCACCTGTAAATCTTTTTGCACTTCCGTAGTACCAAGTTTAAACTATTTAGTTTCATTTATTTAATGAAATAACGTAAATTTCATTTAATAATTTGACAAATTCACCAGTAATATCGTTTTCACTTCATCTCTGTAAACAATTCCCTTCGATTAATAAAGATTAATAAATATTAAATAAAGAATATATTTAAGAAATTCTTTTAATTGCTCAAGAAAATGAAAGCTCATGAGATTTAGAAGTATATGCAATATACATATTTCCTAAATATATTCCTTTGCTTTTAATACAAAACGTTAATAGAAAGATCAACATGTAGATTAGAGTTACTTCTGAAATATTTGTATTTAAAAAATATTAAGAATAGATAATAAAGAACTGATATTAAGCTTGATGCATTATTTGAGAAATAAGATCTGGAATATTTATTATACTTCCATAGTAATGACTATAATAATGAAGGTATAATGAATTCAAGAAAAGTCCTACTAACTACTCTTCTTTGTTACGTTGACTTTCTTAATAAAACGTAGACTGTCTAATGTTTAACCTTTAGACCTAATAATTTAGTTAACTTACATTGTCTAAATCTAAATTTCTCATATTATCAAATCATGTATGAATCAAATAAATTCAGTTGCTGTTTAGTTTCCACACAATGTTTATCATTTACGTCACTAATTTAAACCGGCTTTTTTGTGAATTATTGAATAAATAAAAGCCCTGTCTTACAAGTAGATTCTTTAGCTTTAACATTTTTCTATGATTATTTATGTATTTGGATGCCAAATAAGAAAAAAATATCAAATGTCATGGAGAATTCATCAATCCAATTTCCCGTCGGATTACTCGTGTTGTGTGTTGTACGAATATGTTGTTTTTTATTGCAAAAAAATTTTATTTTAAACAGTTGCAATACACTGGAAAAAACTGTGTGATTAATTAATGAAAATATAAAATTGAAATTTAAAAAAAATAGAAATATTAAGTAATTTGCTAAAGCAAAATAATTTTGTTTTATTTATTGTAATAATAATAACCACATAAAGATCTATCAAAAAATCAATGAACAGAACTTATGTTGAAGAATCATTTCGATAAAAATATTTTAAATATAATTTTTAAATACTTTTGTTTGAGAGTATCAAATAATACTACATTTATTTGAATTGTTTCTGAGATTTCTAACCCTAGGTTGCACTAATAACGATGGTTCAAACTACTATTAATTTGGTACAATGAAGAACAATTATTAGCATTGGAAAAGAATAAAAACTTAATATTAATAAAGAACACAACTGTCCGCCATCAGTTAAAAGATAAATAAATGATAATAATGCTAGTATATTTAAAGCTTAGTGTGAGGCAGGGATAGGCCCCCCAACCATAAAAGAATAAAAGTGCGCAATAGCACTAATTCAAACCACAACAACAACAACAACTGTATTTTAATAAAAAACATAAAATAATAATTAATGTAATAATTAAATAATAATAATTAAATAATAATAATTTAATAATAATAATTTAATATTAATAAAGAATAATCGACACATTTAATCAATGTTAAAAATTTTTTTAATGATAGCTCGAAAGCCATAACGGTTGCCAATCCATTCGTACTTATAGTAAACGGATAAGTAAAGAAACTTTTTATTCTTAGATCACTCATCGAATAATCACGAAGTTTTTGAGGAATATATAAATTAGTCAGTGATATGGGTGGGACTCTGCAGACACCATCTAACCATCCCCCCCCTCGTGATGCCAATTGCTAATTAAATATACCAATTGCAAATTAAACATATTTGCATTATTTTCAAGCAATAAAAATATTCGGAATCTTCAACAAATTGGTGAGACTATCCAACATTACAAAAAAAAAAAAAATAAGAAGACATTATTACTTCTAGGTATATCATTGAGAAAATTTAAGAAAAAATTTAGAGATTATAGTTTCTGTAGTTGAAAATTGTAAACTAATTTATTGATTACCATTTTTACATTAAAGACATGACTATTAACAACGGTTAGATGCAATACTACACGCGCAATCTTTATTAATATACCTTCTCATATACCTTCATCTAGACAGAGGTCTAATGTGGAAAACGCACATATTCAACAAAAGGAAATCACTTGGTATTCAATTAAGAAATATGTCTTGGTTGCTCAACCAACACTCCTCTCTTTCTCTGGAAAATAAAATCATTCTCTACAAATGTGTTTTGAAACCTGTTTGGTCATTTGGCATCCAACTGTGAGGAACAGGTTCAAATTCAAATATTGAAATATTACAAAGATTCCAATCTAAGATTCTCCGAATGATAGCGAACGCTCCGTGGTACATCACAAATTCACAAATTCATCGTGACCTTAATATACCACTAGTTAAGGAGGAAGCGAAAGGCATCGCTGCCGCATACACTAATCGTATTAGATCGCATTCAAACAATTTGGCTTCAAATCTAATGACACACCTTCAACTACTCACAAGACTGAAAAGAAAAGCGCCAATTGATCTTTGTACAATTTAAAACAGAAATAAGTTCTTCATAGCGATGTTTCAAAGGGACATACGCAGCACGACTATTATTTATGTTAATAATGTTATTAAAAATTTGTAAAATATCGAATTAGTTTTAGATAGCATACAATTATATATAAAATATATATAACAAAAAAAAAAAAAATATACCTTCTCGAATTGGTGGGTCTGTGAAAGCGGAATTGTGTCAGTGTAAGCATAGTATGTAATAGATAATGGTTTTAGATTCGTAATCTTCTAGTCTTAGCTTTTATATGCTATAATATGATGACATTTGTTTATATTTTTAAAATTCTCAACAATATTTTAAATATTTTTATTAATTTGTTAATAAAAGAAATATGAAATAAAAATATCGATAAACACATAATATAAAAGTTAATAAAAAAAATTAATTAACTTATACTAAAGTCCATATTTATGTAGACTACAAATTGAATATTTTGTTAGCATAACGCATCATAAACTGTTCTTTGCGTGAGTTTAACACACGAAAGGTCATTACAGATCGATTTTAAACTTTGAAGTTCACTGTTAACTTTACAGAAGTTCAGGGTAAGCAACTGTTAGTTCTTGTTAGGAAAATATAGAAACAAAACTAAAAAAAGTTAAGCGCATATCTATGTTTCTTTTTATGTTTATTATTAATTGAAATTTCATAGTTTAGTTAGAAACTAAAATTTCTTTGAGTGTGATTAGTAACACTTCAAACGGGTTTTTGATTTTTATCTTAAAATTAGTGGACTTATAGATTTATAGTTGAGAAAATATGCAAATATATTTATACATTTATGAAATTATTTATATCGCCCACGTAGTTTCAACAGCAGACAACTTTAGTTAATTAAAAATTAAAAACTTAGGAAATCCTCATACATAAATATTATTGATAAATAAGTATGTAAATATATTAAATTTTTATTATTTTTTTTTTTGCAATAGCATTTTTGCAATTTTTGCATTGAATGTATGGAAAATGAAAAAAATTTAAAATAACGCAATATGAATATAGATATAAATTTTTGTAGCTTTGTCAATGATTTGATTAGTAGAGATATTAATTTTTTTGGGATTAATAAAATTCAATAATGAGAAAAAAATTCATATCAACACATTTCGACATAAATTTCACACAGATTATCAAATTTTAATTTATTTGTTTATTGAATTTTGGTGTGAATTTTTTATTTTGAAGTGGCGTTGCCAATGCTTTGAAATTTTTTATGCTGTTGATGGCTTGTACTGGCGTGAGGTCTGAATTTGAATTTGTTTGTTGTTGTTGTTGTAAACTTTTGGACTATTTGATTTTTGATTGTTTTATTTATTTTTATGCTTTTTATATTATAAATGATTTTCCACATTTCATTGATTGAAATTGGTTAATTTGTTGCATTCATTCGCTTCGGTTTTGGTTTTTTGTTATTGGAGATGCTGTTGTAGCCATCTGTGGCCATTGTTATTAATGATGTCAAATGGTGTGAACAAGCGAGATTTTGATAATCAATTTCGTTTTATTGGTTTTTGTCTTTGGTATAAAAAGATAAGAGGCCAATGTTAAGGGTTTTAGTTTATATACACAACTTATCTTCGTTGCAGCGTCATTCGCTTGTGATTAGTGTTAACAAAATGTTTAAAATTGTAAGTGCTGTGTATAAAAATGTTTATTATATTAATAAAATAATCAATATTGTTACTGATTGTTAACGAAAAAAAGTGTTAAATGCATATTAATTAATTTTGTTTACAGTTAAACAATTTAAATTAATTTAATAGTTTATTGAAATATCAAAACCTTTTATGTGAATATAATTTAACACATAATTTATTTAATAATATATAAAATAATACACAATATTTAATATACACAATTCAATACACAATATATTTAATAACATATACAACACAAAATTAAAATAATAATAGAAGTTATAATTTAAATGATAAAAAATAACTTAATATAAATGTATAGTGACAACAAATTTAACATTCAAAATTCCTTTTAAATCTTTCAAGTTTACAATGATAAGCTATTTAATCAGTTTTTTCTTTAAGTTTTCTCTAAGTAATTATTTATTGATTAAGTTGATGTATTTTTTAAGTTAAGGTTTTTTTTTTAGCTAACTGTAATTATATTGTTTAATATAAATTACAATATCATATTTTTCTGTAGAAATACAGAAATATCTCAAACAAATTGAGTTTTACTGAAGTTTACTTCGATTTTAAAAACATGCGGTTAATATATGCTGCATACTATGTCAATTTTGAAAGTAATTATCAGTCAAAGAAATTAAAAATTTCAGATTTAACTAAAAAGGGGTAGGAATTTTCAGAAAGTAGTCTTGGCTAAAGTTATATCAATATGCTTTAAAAGCCATTTTCATTTTGAGTTCTTAACTTAATAATTATATGTTTTCCTCTGATATTCAAAATATTTACACATTGAATTGTATTCAATGTTTTAACCGCAATATTAAATATATTTGCCAATTATTACTTTACCGCTATTGTTACCAATGCTGCCATTGAGAATTGTCTTCTTAATATAATATTTTTTGTTAACTTTATAGTGTGAGCATTTAAGTTAAATTGATATATAGTTAAATAAAGGACTATGAAATACTAAGAAACAAAAATTTAAAAATGAGCAAAAACAATAAATTTGCAATAACAACGATGTTGTTTTATTACTATAGGAGTTTGTATATACCTACAGAAGTTACATTATCACTTGTACATACTAAATCATCCATCGTAAATAATTGTTTACTTGATTTCACTTAATAATGACAATATAAACTTCTGATTTTATTATTTTAATAATGCTGTTAACATTTCCTTTCTAACTTAATTTACAGCATATTTTATTAAGACAATATCATACCACACCTAATATTCGTTATAGATTGTTTCGTGTGATTTAATATTCAAAATTATTCAAAAATAAATTGTTCAAAGAATTAATATACTTCTGTTTAATTACAACAAGGATTCTTTCTTATTTTAGTCACACTAAGATTATTCTATTTTGCTGTATATTTCCTATAATGAGTATTTGGATCTACATAAAAAAATTTTATGGACCAGCGATTACAGTTGAAAAATAAAAAAATTCTAAGAACGAACTTTAATTTTTACATTTCATTTACACTTAATTGTTTTTCAAAAACAATAATTTAAAATAATAGTCTTGTATAAACTATTTAAAGTCCTTAGTATTGATCAGAAACTTTGTTTACATAAGGCTTAAGCACCTTCTGAATGTCAAACCTATATTAAAATCATTAAACGAAATCAAAATAATTTTATGCAACAAATGCTTTATAGGGATAAATTGTGTGCGTTTTTGTTTTGGTGCTTTAATATAGCACATGTGAGATACATTATAGAGTTGTTTTTTCTACGCATTTATATAACTTTATTCAATTTCTGAACTTTAATTGGACTTTAATTTGTTTAATACAAATATTTGTATTTTTCGTAAAACATAGTTAACAAATATTTTATTTTCTTAATGTTCATATGGAATTTATTTTTAGTTTTTAAATCTATAATAATATAATTATCTTGTTTTATGCTTTTTGTTTTACCGTTAAGTACAAATTTTAACGAATAAATTTTCTTTATAATAATGTGTTGTCATTGATTACTTTCCATATAAAAATCGTTTGTATACACAATAATAATTAAAATGATATATTATTAAGATAATTTCTTCAATCCTAATTGCTAAAAAATCTATGGTGATTCAGTTTTATCTCTGCAGTTAGCGGTCAAAACATTTTGCAAATATTCAAATATTTTTCTGAAATTCTTTGCGTTTTTAAATGTAGTCCAATACATTCCATTTATGATATTTCTTTTTCTTTAAAAATCATTTTACTTCTACAGTTTGGAATATATCTCGACAAATAATCGCACTATAAGCTGATTTCTTCCTATTAATTCTATACGTGGAAGCGTTTTCCCCTATTTCATATAGACGAAGATAGATTATTATGCATTCTTTGAATGTTATATGGGTTTTCTTTAATGTGTGTCCTACTCTTTTATTTCTCTCTGGTGTAGTTGCTGTTAGTTTTGTAAATATGCAAAGCTTCGATTCTGATGAGAGAATTTATTTTTCTTTTTTTAAGTCAGCTTTCTGAGCGGCACAATAAAATTGGTTCGATTACCATTCGGTATAGCCGTAGGTTCCTTATGGTTTTAATTTTATTATCTTTCAAACTTCTGGAACAAAATTTCATAAGCTCATTGATGGTTGCTCTGCTTTGATTGCGGACTTCTTGCTATGTATTATTGCACTGAGAATTTATTGTGCGCAGGTAATGTGATGATATTACTTTTTGGCTGGTTAGATATCAATGGATTATAGTTAATCATTTTTGCTCTCTAGACTACGTTTCATTATTTTTTACCGGTATTTTTCTTCTATTTATTTAATGTGTTATCTTGATTATCGGCTCGACTATTAATAGAAAGTTGTCTGTTTATGCAAGTAATTAGAAATGGATAGGGAGTAGGTCCCAATGAAAGATTATTTACTTTTATTTTATTTGTATTTATTATTTATTTTATTACAAATATTTTTTCTTTCGCTTTTATTGCATTTTAGATATTTTAATAACAAGTATTATTACGTATAAAACATTGAAAGCATTTGGATAATAAACTTATACCTTTACAACTATAGTGTATTGTACAGATTTTATTTGTTTGATTACTAGTTAGTAATATTTACTTTTACTAAATAAAAATTAAACAGTGTAAATCATAATATATATTACTATCAAAGTATTGTATATAATCTGAAAAATTTACATATTACAACCTATAATTTTTATAATTCAATTGTTTAAATTCACTTAATTCGCTTAATTCATACCACTTTACATATTTAATTAATTAATACTTTTAAAATATACTTTTTTTTAGTTACTAATTTCAACACTCTTTGCTTTCGCACTGGCGGACATCGATTCTACGATTACCCGCTTTGCCAGCCAGATTAATATTGACGGTACCTATGCTTTTGATACAGCACAATCTAATGGAGCTGCTTTTAGAGAGTTTGGTATAGGCGGCCAATATGCGAAGGGAGCTTATGAATATTTCTCACCTGAAGGAGAACATGTGCAAGTCGTTTATACAGCTGATGAAAACGGCTTCCAACCGGAATCGAATTTCTTGCCAACACCGCCACCAATACCAGAATATATACTAAAAGCTATAAAATACATTGAAGAACATCCAACAGCAGAGGAACTGGCTGATCGTGAAGTCCGGGCGAAGCAGCTGTAAATTATTTAAATATTTTAAATAATTTTTGTTAAGAAATCACTTTTTGTATATTTAATTTAGTTTTATAAGACATTTTTGTAAAATATTTAATTTTAATTATCATTCTATATCATTAATTTTAACTGTTAAAACCCATGCCATAAAAAATTAAAATATTCCAAAAAATTTTAAATTGTGTATATTTTGGTTGAATTGAATTAGTGATTAATGATTTGATGGATTGACTAATTTGTGCAGCATTCTCAAAGCATTTAGTGCGGTTGAGTGGAATTAATATCTCAAGTTCTAGGTCAGCTTTGAATGGAATAATTACTTTATTATGAGTTTCAGATGTGATTGAAATACTCGTAAAATAGTAGATTATAAGATTTGTATCTTCAGGGTGAGCTAAGTTATCAGCTACAACATTTAGTTGAAATTTCAAGCTGCACAACAACAAAAAAAAAACAATAAACAAAACTTGAAGTATTCATTCAAATAAAAACAATTACAAATTTATTTCGATTTTATTATTAACACCCGAAATGATTAATGAGATTTGTGTGAGTAATTAATACGCATAGTAATTATGGTTCTGTGCGTGTGTTCAGATATCTCGAGCAAAGATAACGTGAAGGCCGTCGAAGGTTGCAAAGATACAAACTTAACAAGTTGAAAAATCAAATTGTTTAATTTAATTAAAATCGAATATTGACCCACTTTTCGCAAGTTTTGCTTATGTATATATTTACGTATATATTTGGACAGAAATTGGTTCAACAGATATGAAAGGGTTTCATAGGGTTTAAATTGAGCGCAAAAGGAATTGCGTGTGCTGTTTTCAAGGATTGTTGTGTTTAATTTATTAATCTAACAGCTTTCGATTAGTCTGAATGAAAATAAATGGAAATAGGAATTTAAACTTAAATTTCAGTAATGTTTTAATATAAAAACAATGTAACAAAATATTATAACATCAGGGTTTTAAATTTGAATTGCAAGATAAAGGGTATAAAACTTTATCCGCAATTATTAGTAACAATCATATACCATTAGTTAGGATACGGGGTCAAGATAATACTTGCTGTAGTATTATATTTAGTGTTTGATTAATTTTTGGTTAATAGTAATTCGTTCCTAAAGATATAAACTATTATGATATGTTATGAATGCTAATGCTATGTTCACACAGCCAAATTTTCTTAATTTCGTAAAAATGTAATTAAGTTAATTTCGAAAGTGTTCATACTGCCACAAATTAAGAAATTCATATGTTTTTTGTTTACAAATCTGGGAAACTTTAAAAGTTGATTATTACAACTATAAAGGATGGCATTCAGTGGTTGTACTAGCTTTAGTAGATTTCAGGTATTTGAACTATTATTTTTTATTCTATTTTAAATTAATAACAGTTATAGTTTTTTCTCTATATTCAAATTTAAAAATTTGCACTACTTTTAAAATATTTTCCCGTTTTCTTTAAAGTCAACTGTCACTGACATTATTTAAAAAAAAATGTTACTTTTTCGTTATCTCAGTTCTATCTTTTGCTTAAAATTTATTTAACACATAGTTGCATTTGAAATGTCCCTTAATTTCAGCCTTCGTTTTAACGAAATTAAAGCCATTTTCCTTAATTTCGAGTTGTCCTTACCTTAAAACTGAATTTTTTTATGGAAAAAACAACTTAATTTCGCTGAAACGTAGATGAAATTAAGATTTTTGCGACATTAAGGTGTGTCTGAACATAGTGTAAAGTATCAACTAAATAATAAAAATTAATTTGATATGATATATCTGATGTATTTACTGCAATCTATATAAAAAGAGAATGTGTAATAAGATACAATATTATTTCAACATAAGTATTAGTTTGAACAGATTTGAACAAACTACTAGTATCTCATATCATCTGTTGCCTTATATTATAATTTGAACCAACATTTTTTAACCACGTTTCGGCATTAGTTTACCGAAATGTAAAAAAACATATTATCGTCTTTCATGTTTTGGCAAAATATTGGTACCGGTTATGAGAAAACAATAATTTTCCGATCCGCAAAACATTATGAGTTAAAAAACACTGATTCAAAGGCTGTGCAATTCCGGCATGTAAATCGAGATTAACAGCATTGTTGACCGGTGCCATGTGAATTCTTAGAAATGGCTAACGATGAGTTCATTATTTATTTATTATTAACTTACTGTAAATGGTGTCGTATTGTATGTTGTTATATTTTTTATGGAAGCAGATTGGATTAAATTAAATTAATAGGAAAAAAAATTTGCAGTTTGCTTGAGCTAAGTATTCATAATACAACGAATTCAAGTTTTGTCTTTTTAACTAAATTATGTATTCGAATAGACTAAAAATGTTGCAGTAAACCAAAAAATAATAGAGTATGTTGAAATCACAGTCAAATCAGGACGGCAGATTGTTTAAAGTTGCTGGTATTGGAAATTAGATTTGTTTAAGTCAGCAATTCACAGCAACTATCGATAAGAATGGAAAATTATTTATGTAGTAGGAAGTCTTCATAGTAGAGATCCATAGAGAGTAGAGGGTTGTGGTGAGTATTCAGGTGGAATATAATAAAAATTAAAGGGAGTGGTGCTTTAAAATTTGTTGAATATAGTAAGCTTGCCATCTTTACACACAAGATGGATAATTAGACAGTATTTTAATTGATGTTTCAGGTTTGTTTGTGACTTCAAGTAAAGCTATTATAAAGCTATTGTGGAAGAGGTCATCTTTCTATTTTCCATCGACAAAACATTTATTTAGTACATTATTATAGAAACAAGAAAAAATTACTAAAGAGAGTGGTGCTTCAGAAGAAGATGGATAATTAGAGGGTATTTTGAATTATGTTTTAGATTTCTTTGTGTTCAAGTAAAAAATAAACATTATAAAACTATTGTAGAAGAGGCGATTTTTTCATTTTCCAACGACAAAGCTTTTATTTAGCACATTGTTATAGAAAACAAGTTAAACAAGCATTATATTCTCTTAATAACCTTTTTTTTCTCTCTTAAGTAAAAAAACGACTTTGTGTTAATAGTTTCTCAACTATTCCCAAAATTGCCAAAATCCCAAAACTCTCAAAATCGTTTTTTAGGGTAGATTAATCTCTAGTTATTAATTTAATAGTAGATAAAAAAATTATTTAAGAATTATTAATAAAATGATTCTAATATACAAATTCAATGGGCTTTCTAAGCAGAACATGTATGAAGTACGTAACATATATAATGTATGTATTAAAAATTCCATGCGAAGCTAAAATCGTTTTCCAGTGTAGCTCTTCTGACTAATGAATCACTAATAGTTAACCCGATAGAAGAGAATATACATGATTTAGGGCTTTTTTTATATATAAACTATATATTGTACTTAATAATGAGTTAAATAGTGCACTGTGTAAGTTAAAGTTATTGTATTAAAATTAAATTTGAAAATCTTTTCAAAATTTTAAAAAATATGAGTGGAACCATTTGTAAATCACCGATACTCTGTGACTGCTTAATGCTTTCTTTTAAAGGCGCAACAACAAACTCATATGTTTTGACTTTTGATAAAATATTCGAGTTATCTTATTGGTACTGGAATAATTATATAGCATAGTTCGCATAAGTAATAGTTCTACATATAACCCTTTATGATTACGACAACTCTATTGTTAATTTTATTGACAAGCTCAATTATCAATTTTCAATTCACTATTTAAATAAAGTATTGGCCATTTATGAAAAAAGTGTGATATTGAGCTAATAGTTTAAATCGTTTTCCTTTTAAAGCTTTAAAAATTTTAATACATTCATGGGATCCAGTTAATTTAATATATCAACCTTTCTTAATAAATAAATGCTGCCGTTAAATTGTTACCTCAAAAAACTATTATAATTAAAGAAAATAGTAAATTTTTGTGAGTGTAGCATATATACTTTATAACAAACAAAAACAATTGTACTCCGTAGAGTGTGATGCCAGTAAGGAAAACTTCAATTTTAAAAAAAACTGTAATTATGTCGTTGGAGAAGGAAGAATAATTAATAGATGTTATATTACACGAAAATGTTTACAAAAAACATCTCTTTTTAATATGTTTTTGCATACAAGTCAATTTAGTAATTATTATGCCTTCCATGATATTTTTAATTAAAAGCACACAAAGTATGTCCTAGAAATTTCATGTCAACTCATGAACTTCAAGAGTTATATAGTATGTGAATAAACGTGCATATATATCTTCGCTCTAAAGAATTTAAAGAATTTATTTTGTTGTTAATGTAAATTTGAGTAAAAACTTTCAGTTTGTAGTGTCAAGTTATATATTTATATAGTGCGGCATATTTAGTATATGTTATTAAATAGTATATCTATGTTATGTACATATCATGAACAATTTTTCCACTGAATTTAACATTGAAAGTTAAATGTTAAGTTTGCAGTGGTAGGCTATTGAAAACTGTAATTTAGGGTTACTTAATTACTTGCATGAGTTGTATGAGTAAAACAATTAAAATATTTCACTTTATTGCCATATTTTAAGTATGTGATGTATGAGTATAATAACTTAATTTTATGTTACAACAATTAAAAATATTATAATATAATAATAGTCTTTTGACAATATATTATGTTACCATATAATTAACTAAATATAGGACGGTTTTAATGCACTACACTAATTTTGAGTTATTCTAAAAACAATTACTCTGTTTTTAACCTTGGATGTAATATTTATGTCTTTCTAAGTAATTAGAGTACATTGGAATATTAAATGATACCAACCCCTTATACACATTGCATGGATGTAAATAAATATTATTTTGTTAATAAATAATATTTAAAATTAAACAGAACAATTATTATTTTAATGTAAATAATATGTTAATACTTCATTTATTTACATAAAATTGCTTTAAAAAGCATTAAAAAATAATTCAGTAAAAATTATTTGTCTGATATTTTAAACAATTTTATTTTGATTTTAAATAGTTTGTTTCTATATGATCATTATTTATCATTTTATTTATTAAGATAACACAAATCTTTTTTAGATAT